CACACACACACACATACACACACACACACACACACACACACACACACACACACACACACACGTCCCCCACACATCGTGCTCAAATGAACAATAATAACTTTTCAACATTGTTTTATCATATCCTGGATTCTGCCCCGGAAGCTCTTTGTTATTATCCCTATCGTTATTATTGAGAGACAAAAGTCTAATGTATCATAGGCTGGACTCCAAGGTCTTGTTTAGTTGAGGGTGACCTTGAACTTATGATCCCCTTGCCCCCCCCCCCCACCCAAGTGATGGAGTCACAGGCGTCATCCACCACAATTGAGTTATGTGGTGTTGGGGAGAGACCCCAGGACTTTGTACATGCTGGTCAAGCACTCCACCCCCTGAGCTAGACCTCCAGCCCTCCTGTTGTTTCAGCTTCGGTATTTTTTTGAAGGGGGGGAAGATTTTTAATGACCGAGGGAGGCGGTATGGAGGCAAGTGGTTTGGTAAGCAGCCTCACAGCACCTTCTGCATCCTTGTGTGATGTGGAAAAGATAACTGGGTTGTCTTGGTGATCCGAAAAGGCCCAGTGGTGTGGAACTACTAAGCTCCAAAAGCCTCTTCAGTGAGTTTGAGGCCAACACAGTTTCTTATCTGATAAACGACACAGGGGTGGGGTGGGGGCGGGGGCTCAGCTACTTGTTCCTGAAAATACTAGCTTGTCGGGTTTGGATACGAAGTCTCCCTGCAAAAAGCCCACTGCTCCAGCTGGTGGTGCTGTTGAGAGGTTATTGGGTCTTAAGTATGCTAAAAGGGTGGTTAGGCCTCCTTGGAGGAAGTGGACCACTGAGTGAGGGGCGGGTCTCTCCTGGGCCCCTCCCTTCATCTAGGCTCCCTGGCTGCGGAGAGGTGAACAGCTTTGCTTTGCCAATGCTTTGCCTCTACACAGTCCCACAGTGGTGGTGCCACGTGAACACGACTGTGGCCTCTGAAGCTGGAAGCCAAAAGAAATCTTTCCTCAGTTGTTTATCTCAGATACTTTGTTATGGTGGCAACAGCAAAAAGACAAAAACAAAACCCTGACATAGTGCTCAGCGGCAATAAAGACTGAACCCACTCAACAGTGCTTGAGTCCTTGCTGGCCTTCACACACAAAAACAATAGACTCGGTAAAGAAAGACCTACACAGGCTTGTCAAATCCCCTCCAAGGAGGGACACAATCAGCCCTAACAGATAATTACAGGCTCTTATATGGGCTGCATCAGTATTTCAGGCTGTGGCTCCAGTGTTTTCTGGCTGATTTCTCATTGAAGCGCACATTTTCCAGACCCTTGTCTGTCTAAGCACCTGTGGAAGTCTCTAAGGGAAAATTCTTAGACACGAGATGACGAGGCTGAAGGAGGGTTGCACTGACGTCCGTGTTGGCGCAGCATATGGAGGCTGATTCTGTATCTTGTTTTCTTTTTCTTCTTGAAAGTGTTTTTACTTATTTTTCTTTCCCTGCATTTAAAAAGGTCCCCCAACCCCCACCACGAGACCAAAGAGATTGTTTATTGGTTAAGAACACTTGCTTGGAAATCATGGGGACCAGAGTTTAAACCTCAGCATCCATATGACAAGACAGGCATTCTGTATGCTTGCAACCCCAGCTATGAGGAGGGCAGAGACAGGTGAGTTGATGGGACTTGCTGGCATCCCATTTAGCTGGCAGAAAAAACGAGGGCTGTGGAATAACCCTCTATCCACTGTGAAAACGTGTTGCTCTCGTTGTTAATAAAAAGATGATTGGCTGGTAGCTAGGCAGGATTTTCAGGGCAGGGAGAATACTGGGAAGAAGGATGGAGTCTGAGGAGTCTTTTTTTTTTAAGATTTTATTTATTATGTATACAACATTCTGCTTCCATGTATATCTGCACACCAGAAGAGGGCACAGAATCTCATAACAAATGGCTCTGAGCCACCATGTGGTTGCTGGGAATTGAACTCAGGACCTCTGGAAGAGCAGCCGGTGCTCTTAACCTCTGAGCTATCTCTCCAGCCCCCAAATCTGAGGAGTCTTATCCCAGACTTGGAAAGGGCAACATGGGAAGTTCATAAATAAGGTAAACTAGCTTTGGGATGGCACATAGGTTAATAGAAATGGGCTAATTTAAGCTACAACAGCTAACTAAAAATAGTCTAAACTATTGGCCTAGCATTTATAACTAATGTTAAGTCTCTGTGCACTTATTTGGAACGTCCCTGGCAGGAAAGTGCTTACAAGGGAGAACTTGGGGGCTGGAGAGATGGCTCAGAGGTTAAGAACACTGACTGCTCTTCTAGAGGTCCTGAGTTCAATTCCCAGCAACCACATGGTGGCTCACAACCATCCGTTATGAGATCTAGTGCCCTCTTCTGGTGTGCAGATATACATGGAAGCAGAATGTTGTATACATAATAAATAAATAAAATCTTAAAAAAAAAAAAAGTGAGAACTTGGTTCAGGGAGAGATCCTGCCTCAAAGGAGTAAGCAGAGACTAAAGGACAAGTATCCTCTTCTGTTTCCATGCTGTACACGGAAGCTCACACACACATTTTTTTTAAGCTTAGTTTTAATTTTAACTGTGTATGTGTGTATGCATATTTGTCTGTGTGAGTATGTGTACATGATTGTAGGTGACCACAGAGGCATCAGATGCCTTGGAACTAGAGTTACAGGTGGTTGTGAATCACCCTACATGGGTTCTGGAGATCAAAATTAGGTCTTAGGTCCTCTGCAAAAGCAAAATTCTTATCAGAGTATGGTGGTATACCCCTTTAACCCCAATAGAGGCAG